CTCCTTTTTAAATTGAGAAAAGTTCTCGAGATAGGAAAGGAGAGTTAACCATAAGGCAACATTTTATTAATAGAAATTATGTTTTCACTTTATAAAAATAATAACATATTTAAGTTATTCAATGGAAAAAAGGAAATTTTATTTCAATTTTTTTTTAATTTTTATGAATTTTTAAACTTTTATGAACATTTTAAAATATCCATGTATTACCTGTCAAAATTTGTTTAGTAAAATTTTGATAGGCTCAAAAGAAATATTGTTTCCATGAAAAATTCAAATGAGAGTCCGTCTATAAATGATGTCAAGCTTTTTTTAATTTTTTAAATTGTTTTGACCCTTTTTTACCTTTGTCATAAAGTATCACACTTCATCATGCCCTTTACCCCCTTTATCTCATGTCACACTTCATCATACCCTTTACCCCTTATATCTCATGTCACACTTCATCATACCCTTTATCCCCTTTATATCATGTCACACTTCATCATACCCTTATCCCCTTATATCTCATGTCACACTTCATCATACCCTTTATCCCCTTCATATCATGTCACACTTTACTACTACATTCAAACATCTTAGTAGCAAAACTCATGTTATATATTTCGAACTTTATTTCTAAATTTTAACTGCGATTTTTAATAGAATTGGTGAGCATACAATTATAAGTGGGCTTTTTTGAAGAAAAAAAATGATGTAAAAAAAAAAAACACCGAATAAATATTTAATTTACTGATTTTAATTTTATTCGAAATGAGGGATATTTCGCAAGCTGCCATAATTTCCCTTATTCCCTTTATATCATTAACGGCACGGGACATTAATATATTAAAATAAGGTTTTAAAAAAAGTTTTGTTAACACTATATAACAAAAGGTGTAATAAACAAGATATTTCCGAAATGTTCGAAAAATTGATTATTTTTTTCTACTTGATGCATAAAACAAAATTATAACCAGTTTAAAAAAAACAGAGTGAAAAATTTAATTTTTTTAAATAGAATTTTGTAGGAGCATATTGAAAGACTGGAAAAAACAAATTGCTGATATACCTAACATTTTAAAATATTATTAAAAATCAAACGTATACATACTTTAAAAATAACTTTACTTTTAATGGTCTTATTTATGAATATATTACCGTGACAGACAGAAATCGAGAGAGTGTCGATTTTCATCGGTGAATGTCAACAATCACATAGTCGCTTAGGTGAATGTCCGAAATATTTGTTACACCCGATTTCATATTAATTTATTCGTTGATATTATTATATTTATTCGGTATTTTAATATCTGCTGTGGATAGATTAGGAGAAACATCAATGTTCGGAGTACTGGTTAAATGCACACAGGGTAGTGGCACTTGACTATAATAAAACATTGATGTAGGGCATACCGGGCAAATGTAAACAGTGCAGGGCAACATAGCTAGACCTTATATGGTATTTCTGACATTTACCAAAGCGACTATGTGATTGTCAACATTCACCGGTGGTAATCAACAACCACCAATTTCGGTCAATCACAATAGCATATATAGTATACATAATTATAAAAATTATAATATAAAACGGTGAATTAGTGCATGGGCGGTCACTGGCAGGAAAATTGTTATCATTTTTTAATTTTAAATTTATTGTTATTTATTAAAGTATTTATCGAAATTTTATTTTCATGCATATTTCATGATATGGCATATTATTCGATCTTGAATATAAAGATGTATCTTCATAGGATTATGTATTTTCTCATATTATTTTATACTATATTCTATATTGTTTTATATATTCTTTTATAAAAGAATATATAGAGCAATACAAGAATGTGAACCTTATCAACAGTTATCAATAATAAATAAAATTACCATCAGTCTCATAGTTAAGATGATTTTTTAAAGAAATATTTCTGATAAATTGTTAAATTTTCGTCTTGTAAAATTTATTTTAATATAAATATAGCACTAAAAATAAAGAGAAAGAAAAGTGATTAAAATTTAAGAACACATGCTATCTCAGCATTAAAAAAAATCCTATTTAGTGTGTTTCATTGAAATAGAATGCCAATATTGAAAATTTCGCTTTCATTGAAACTTTATAAATAAATTATCTTTTAATTAGTAAATCTTTGGATTTTTCTGTTTTTGAGATAAATTTCAATTATGATTACTATCAATAAATAAACTGAAATAAAAAATAGTAAAGTATTAATACAAAATATATTTATATTTAAAAAATATATCAATATTTCATAAATAAAAATAAATCGTATGATTCGTNGTATTTTAATATCTGCTGTGGATAGATTAGGAGAAACATCAGTGTTCGGAGTACCGATTAAATGCACACAGGGTAGTGGCACCTGACCATAATAAAACATTGATGTAGGGCATACCGGGCAAATGTATACAGGGCAGGGCAACATAACTAGACCTTATATGGTATTTCTGACATTTACCAAAGCGACTATGTGATTATCAACATTCACCGGTGGTAGTCAGCAACCACCAATTTCGGTCAATCACAATAGCATATGTATGATTATAAAAATTATAATATAAAATGGTGAATTAGTGCATGGGCGATCACTGGTGGGAAAATTGTTATCATTTTTTAATTTTAAATTTATTGTTATTTATAAAGTATTTATCGAAATTTTATTTTCATGCATATTTCATGATATGGCATATTATTCGATCTTGAATATAAAGATGTATCTTCATAGGATTATGTATTTTCTCATATTATTTTATACTATATTCTATATTGTTTTATATATTCTTTTATAAAAGAATATATAGAGCAATACAAGAATGTGAACCTTATCAACAGTTATCAATAATAAATAAAATTACCATCAGTCTCATAGTTAAGATGATTTTTTAAAGAAATATTTCTGATAAATTGTTAAATTTTCGTCTTGTAAAATTTATTTTAATATAAATATAGCACTAAAAATAAAGAGAAAGAAAAGTGATTAAAATTTAAGAACACATGCTATCTCAGCATTAAAAAAAATCCTATTTAGTGTGTTTCATTGAAATAGAATGCCAATATTGAAAATTTCGCTTTCATTGAAACTTTATAAATAAATTATCTTTTAATTAATATATCTTTGGATTTTTCTGTTTTTGAGCTAAATTTCAATCAATAAATAATTTGAAATAAAAATTAGTAAAATATTAATGCAAAATATATCTATATTTAATAAAAATATAACAATATTTCATATATAAAAATAAATCTACATTTAATATATGAAAATAAATCAATATTTTATGTATAAAAATACATCGATATTTGATATATAAAAATATATCTATATTTGATACATAAAAATGTATTTATATTTGAAATATAAAAATAAATCGATATTTGATATATAAAAAGGTTTCTATATTTGATAATAGGAAGAGACGAGTGCAGTTATTTCCACCTCTGATTGCAGTGCATTGGGGGATACATTTTTTCAGATCATTTCAATATGTTTCAAGTATACCAAGTTTAATTAATATATAATTAATTATAAATAATTAATGGAAAATTAATTTTAAATAATTAAAAAAAATAGTTTTACTTCAAGCAAATAATGTATTCTAAGCATGCTGAGTGGGAAATTTGTTTAAAATAAGAAACTCGTATTAAGTTTAAAAAACCTTAAGAGATCAATGCTTCATAATTTATGTTTTATAATTAATGCTTAACAATTGATGTTTAATAATTAATGTTTAATAATTATATTTTTATATTGTTTTATTAGAAATTATCCATTACCATTTCATAATTAATATTTAAAAACTCATTCCTAATATGGTTTTACGAATAATTTACCATTACTTTTTTATAATTAATTTCTTATTATTGTTTTATAACTAATTTCCTGTTATTACTTTATAACTTAATTTCTAATGATTGATTTATAACTAATTTCCAATCATTATTATTTCATCTTTAATTTCCTTTTGTCGTATTTATAACAAATTTCATATTATTAATTTGTTGTTAATTCCCTTTATTGCGTTGTTTGTAACTAATTTTAAACCGTGTTCTTAAGTGCTCAATACTGAAATGTCTGTTATTTTTTTGATTGTGTCATTCGGGTAAATAATAATACGATTTGAAGAAACTTAGTAGAACTTCAGGAAACACAATATTCAAAATATATTACATATTCAAACAGTTAATATCACTTAATACAGATAATTAACTAATTTCCGATTATTAGTTAATTTCTAATGATTGTTTTATAACTAATACCCTATTATTACTATTATCATTTCATCGTTAATTTCCTTTTTTTTAGTGTTTATAACACATTTCCTATTATTAATTTATTATTAATTCCCCTTATTGCATTGTTCGTAACTAATTTTACACAGTGTTCTTAAGCGCTCAATACTGAAATGTCTGTCATTTTTTTTATTATATCATTTTGGTTAATAATTATAAGATTTGAGGAAACTTAGTAGAACTTCAGGAAACACAATATTCAAAATATATTACATATTCAAACAGTTAATATCACTTAATACAGATAATTAACTAATTTCCTATTATTAGTTAATTTCTAATGATTGTTTTACAACTAATTTCCTATTATTATAATTATTTCATCGTTAATTTCATTTTTTTAGTGTTTATAACACATTTCCTATTATTAATTTATAGTTAATTCCCTTTGTTGCATTGTTCGTAACTAATTTTACGCAGTGTTCTTAAGTGCTCAATACTGAAATGTCTGTCATTTTTTTGATTATATCATTTTGGTTAATAATTATAAGATTTGAGGAAACTTAGTAGAACTTCAGGAAACACAATATTCAAATTATATTGAATATTCAGACAGTTAATATCAGTTAATACAGCCATCTCTATACCTGCTTTTAGGTAGGATGAAGAATCATTTTCTAGGAATAGAGTTGATGGCCTTGAGATCGCCGTATAAATATAAACAACACTTATTACCTAAGCGGGAAAAGAAAAAAAAGAAGTAAAAGTTACTCACCAGACCCAAAACTACAGCAGTCACTGTAGATGCAGCAAGGCTACACCCACAAAATCCCATGGTGTTGTTATTTTTTAGGAACAAACACTTCCAAAAGTTTTAAATCTTGGACGATGCCTAATATTTACAGGCTTGGATTTAATTTTTCACCTGCCGATAAGTCATCTCGCCGATCACGCCGACGCACTATCTCTGCGAGCGAGTCGCTCGTATTGTGGCCATTGCGTCACGTTGAACAGATGGCTTGTCGAAGAGGCGGAGTTATTAGTGTGACGTAATGAGTGTTTACCGCTGGAGCGTTTTGATATGCGAACCCGTTCAGACGATAGGAATTCGGTTAACTGTCCGGTGATAAAACGATATTATATTGTTCTCTTTGATTACATTGTATATTTTGCCACATCGTTTATTTTATTTATTTTTAATCAAGAATTTCTTGCAGTTGGTCAACAATACTATTCTAAATAATTAATTTTTTTAGTGTCATTAATTTCATAGATGATCATTATACTGCCGTGCAATAGCAAAACCAATGAAATCAGCAAGCAATTCAAAATTGAGATTTTTATACATTTGACTTTTTTGCTTGACCAGCTACATATTTTAAAACCGTTGTTGAACAGCTGACTAAATTTTGGACTAAAAATGTTTAACTATGTAGGGTTGTAATTGTAAACACAATTCAAAAGACAAGAGACTGTGAGAAATTCGCCTTCGCGATTGGACTTTTTAATGGAACTAACACGCATTGGCGTTTCATGGAGAGGAAAACCACGAAAACCTCCCACTGTTAGCCACTGAAGATATTTAACCACTTAACCTCTTAACCACTTGAGGATATTTTATGTCAGAACTGTGGTCAGTGGAAGCTGGGTTTAATAATTTGTATCCCGTTTTTAATATTTGTAGCTGGGATTTGAATCCCGTTCAACTCATTGGAAAGCGAACGCTCTCTCCCCTGAGCCAGCCTAAATCTGTTAGAAAAAGTTTAAGGTATTTTGTCACCGTCGGTAAACAGCAGATCCAAATTTGAGTTTACGACTACTAATGTTCAAGTTCGTAGACTTGTAATTTGGAATTCAATTAAGAAAACAAGGGAACTCCTGAATTAGTACCACCAAAGGTATTGATTTGTTATGGAAACTTGGAGGACTTTGTGACTCCGACAGATTTAACTTTCACCAGTCACCATTTAATACACTGGGATTCTTCAGACTGGATTCGAACTCTAGTTCTCACGAACGCGAGTCCAACCCCTTACCAACATGACTGCCCCGGTCTGAGTCTAAGGTATTATCATTTCTTTTAGCAAGAGTTTCAGAAATTGGTGTATACAAATTTAATAAATTATGAATTAACCAAAGTATTTTCAAATTATCACCCTCAAATAAAAAAATCTTGTTAAACATTTTTCAAATAGAATATATTAAGAAGTTAAGAATGATAAAAGAGTTGTGGCAAAATTTCACAATATGCCCCAAATATCTTAAAATATTTCGGGTTCTAACAAAAATATTTTAACATAGTGCCTAGTGCTATCCAAAGGAGAATTAAGGACAATAAAACTATAAATATATTAATATAGGGCTGGGATAGCCTGGTTGGTAGGGCACCAGACTCGTGTTCGAGAGAACGGGAGTTCGATTCCATCCCGTGCATTAAATGGTAACCGCGAATCGTTAAATCTGTTAAAAAGTTCTATAAGTTCCCATAACAAATCAATACCTCTGAGGTTACTGATCCAGGAGTTTCCTTGTCGTCTGGGTTGTATTCAAAATTACAAGCCTACAGAGCTGAACATTAGTAGCCGTAAACTCAAGTTTGGGTCGGTTGCTCAACGAAGGTCATGAAATTTAATAAAATAAATTAGTGTTATTTTCATTATGAAGCTGCGTTTTTTAATAGTTAAGTATTTAGCCTAAGCAAAATAATCTAAATAAAAAAAATATATGATTTTCAAACAAATTATAATTATTAAATTTGAGGCCATTAAATTTTAAATATACTTTACTGTCAAGAATATTTTGTTTTAAATAATAATTTCTTTACCAAAGAATAATAACCAACTCATCTTCAGATAAAAATGAATTAAAAATATGGTTTTAGATTTTTAAAAAAAATTCTTTCTTAAGTTTTATCTTTAATTAAATTGGCTTTTTTTTTTGTCTTCTTCAGTAATTACCACCCCCTTAAATCATATATAAAAGTTTGCATTCAGACATTTCACTTCAGACTACACAGATGTATCTTATAATCTTTTTAAATAGAATAGGCTTCTAAAGATTACGTGATTTTCCCGCTCTCCACATTTGTCCTCCCTCTGTTTCCATGGTTACAGCTAACCTGCCTTTTTCGCTACGATAGTGTACTTCGGTGAAAAGTTGGAATATACTTGCGTGAGAAAAAAGTAAAATTTGGAAACTGTGGAAACGTGGATAGAAAATCTCGTAACCTCGAGGAGCTTATTCTATTGAAATTAATCGTCTTAAAAATAATGAATTTGAACAACAACAAAAAATTTATCCCAGTATTTGAACAATTAAAAAACTATTTGTTTAAATAAAAATTCTCCCTACAAAGTAATCTGCGCTGATTTAACTTCCTAATAACGCTCTTCTAAACATTTTTCTTCAAAATTAACAGTTTACCCTTAGGAAAATTTGCCACAAGTTTGCTATAATAAATTACCATAGGATATTCCTATGGAGTTTTTCCTATGGTAAAATTTTGCTATAAGCGTATGGCAAATTTTTGGCATACGCTTATTTGAGAAATAATAATTGCCATATGTATATGGTAAAAGTATATAATAACATTTTACCATAGGAAAAAACCCCCGTAAGAATATCTTATGGTAATTTTTATATACACCAAATTTTTGCCATAAAATTATTGTTTTTTAATGATTAATTACTGTTTATTAATTATGGTTTATTAATTATTAATTTATTCTTAGACAACAATAAACAAGAGTCATTAAATTACAGGGATCACTTTTCACAATGATTGTTCTATAATAATAATTATAATAAGAGAAATTATATCACGGAGGAAAAAGTTAAACGGAGTGAAGATTAAAATAATATATTTTCAAGATATTTCCTCTTTATCTTAAATGAAGTAAATGTTCTAGCAGAACGCATTATTACTCTGAATTATATGCTGTAAAAATAGAATTAACTTAAAATCATATTTGTTTTTCTTCAGGCAATAATGATTAGCTCGAAGTGAGAGAGCGGATTTTTTTAAAACTTTTTTTTCTCCATGTATCATAACTATCTCAAAACCAAAAATCTAGAGAAAAATATTGAAACACAACATTCAATTGCATGCAATTCATTCAACAAAACAATTTTTGGAACAATTAAGTAAAAGTTCACGAATCATAAAAAAAGTTATGCGAACTTTGAGAGAAATGCGAGAATTATAATTTCTTCATTGGATTTAAGACGATAAAAATCCTTTTGCTGTAAAAGCACAGTGACTAGGTACTTTATTTACGTTGCACAAGATCTGCCCAATGGGCTATCGGCGACTGTCTGGGAAACATCCCGGAGTATGATCTGAAGACACGCCGTCGCAATTTTGATCCTCTGAAGAGGGGATGGCTCTCCTGCTTAGGTAGCCCGACGACCTGCGCATGAAGTAGAGCACTTTACGGTAAAACAGTACGAGCCCCGATACCGCACAACTTCGGTTCCGACGCAGGCAGAAGTAAGTGGTCACTCACCCGCTTACTGACCACAGCCTGTGATGCTTGACTTCGGTGTTCGACAGGGAACCGTGTCTTTAAAATCAATCTACCGTGGAACTCAAATTGATTAATTTGCTATTATTTTACTTTAATGTAAAGTAAAATGACAAGAATTTAATGACTTTATATTAAAATTCGTTTCATTTTTAACTTTTTAAAAGAAAAATTCTGCAAAAAAATATTTCTTTTATAAAAATTGTCGCTCTAGTTTAAATAAATAAAACGGCCCATTTTGTTCTGTTCTATACTGAGATTTAATATTAATGGTTCAAAAGGTTAATCATGCTAATTATAGTATGCAAAGTCGTGATGACTGAGAGGATAGAGCGTTCGCCTTCCAATGAGGTGAACCAGGTTCGAATCCTAGCGATGGCTGGTCGATACGAATTCCGCATCCAGGTTGCACCTACCACAGTGCTGACGTAAAATGTCCTCAGTGGTAGACAGATAATGGTTTAGAGTCCCCTTGCCGTCAGACTAACCGTGAGAGGTTTTCCTCTCCATGTAACCCAAATGTGGGTTAATTCCAGAAAAAAGCCCTCCTCGAAAGCAAAATATCTCCCAATGCTTGATTCAGTAGTACCCTTGTCTTCTGGATTGGGTTCAAAATTACAAGGCTACGGAGTTGAACAGTAGTAGTCGTAAACCCAAAAAGATTGGGTCAGCTGTTCAACGCCGGTTATGAAACAAAATTATTGTATGCAAACGATATTATTCAATTTATGAAACGAAATCAACCACCAAAACTCTCTCAATAAGCATGTTGCTCCTCCACCCCGATATATTAAGACTTTTGACACCCAAAATATGAGGGGCTACCATCAATCTGTAAATTCTCAATAGTCTGTAAAGTCTCAAAGAGTCTTTATAGTTATGTCAGCAGGTGAGCTGTCGAAAATTTCATCTTCTTTATTTTTCGTGTAATTCACCACATCTTTTTAATATTTTAAGCGAAACTCAGCAAGAATGAAAATTTATATTTCTTTAAAGATAATTCCATATGGTGCAATAAACATAAAGTGAACACGAAATTTTCAGTTCCAAAATTTCAACTGCTTTCTTAATTAAACTAGTTTGACATTTATAAAGTAAAACGACGTGAATAATATTCGTAAGAAAATGGATTAACTATAGTTTCGGTAACACACGAAATAAATAACTAGACAGATTACAATGAATGGCGTTTTCTACACTTGAGAAGGCTGCAAGCTCTTGACTGCCTATACTTCCGGATAACTGTTTTTGGTGTGTTTTGAAGCCATTTGGCTCACAACGCGATCATTGTGTTTTGAGACTCTTTTGAGTAGTATTTCTTGTATACGTGTAGTTGTTCCCTAATTTATAATTTGCGTTTAAAAGTAGAATCTTTATAAGAATCGCCATTTGAAGATCTGTCATTTCAAGACGTAAGAATTGTCATCATTTGAAAAAAAAAATCGTTATAAAGCACTTCTTACAATATACCAACTTCGAAATTTA